CACAGAGCGGGACCCCGACGAAAATGCGGTTGCTCGTGCGGGCGACGACCTGCATGATATTCGGCAGTACTGATATCGGTTTCCAATCTAAAGCAAAGGCAATGAGTAAACTAGACCGCATGTCGGAGACGGAAGAAATACTCACCATTCCCCTCTAGCTTAAGCACTTCATCAAAGGCGGAGACGATCTCGTCCCGAACATCGGGAAAACACCGCCCCAAGTTACGTGTCAAGTGAGTGCGGATCGTGTGCTGGTGGTATGGATTCGAGGTGAGCTCGGGGCCCATGGTGTAGTCGCCTTGAATGATCTAATCGTAAAACGACGTCGGCAAGCAGAAAACAGCAATTCAGTGGATGAAACATACGTCTTCCGCTCCATGCTGGAAAGATAACACGTCCTCCGGTGCTGCAATGACTTCAGCAATTCGCGCCGCGCCGTTCACGACATAGTCCCAGCGAAAAAGCCGCGGCACGCGAAACACCCCGTCCGGTTTCTCGCGGTAGCCGCGCTCCACAATGTCAAACGAATGCACAAAATACTTATATGCGCCAGCGTAGGAGGACAAGAATCCGGAGGATCCAACGAGTGCTGGGATAGGTTGCTATATCGAATCAGGGTGTGAAACCGATGGGTTAAGACAGCCACACACTTTGCGTCCCGATTGCAGCCATAATTTCGATAGCAGTACGACAAGTCCAGCCAGCAGCAGCATCCTCAGGTCTGGGTCCATGTTGCGAGGCCTCCGCGGAAGCTGGGTGAAAAGGGTGGAAATTGGGTGGAAATGAAAGGAATCGTATGATTGTTTTGCCGAGAAAGGAAGTTTTCCATCATTTCGTCAGCGATCATTGGTCACTAGGTGCTGGCAATGCCAACTTCAACCTCGCTCGACGGATTTATCCTCGCTCGACCCCGTTGGTGTTGGTGACGTGATGGGAACAAAGAGGGAGACCGGCCTAAACAGTGGCCCGGTGTAAAAGAACACAAGACGTTGTATGCATACGTAGTCGTTCGTAGTCGCCGACAATAACAAAAACATATTTCATAAGACGGCATATTTTTAAATTGAATGACAAGTAGTTTGGATATTAAGCATGATTCATCAGTCTGAAGTGCTCTCGCCCTCGTCTACCCATCCTCCATCGACAAGTCACCGAGGTCGTAGAACTCTTGGTGGCAAATGAAACATGTGCACTCTGTGCGGTCGGCCACTGCACCCCGTTGCCGTAGACTCAAATGCGAAAGCCGCTCTGCAAACCGTTAAAGAGGAAAATCAACATTCGGAGAACGTACCCATGTGCCTGATGTCCGAGCAGCGCCACCTAAATCCAATTGAAGTTTACTCCCACACAATTGTTGCGGTAGTTCCGCTGTTGGCGGGGTACATGGAGAAGCCAATTTTCCACTGCTTGACCGGTACGTAGCCGCCGGTCATCGGGTCCAAGACCCAAATGGTCCGCTCGACGGCGTAGATGTCGCCTTTGATGTCCCAGTACACACGGCGCGTGGAATTATGCGTATTTGGTCCTTGATGGAGTAACACCGGCTGGGACGGATGAGTGGATGGGAGACGAGACAATTGGCGTGCACTTACATTGCGTCCATACAGTGTTTGCAATTTGCACTACGATAGCTGCAACCGCGCGGCTTGTATCGGCCCCTATCCAGACGGTAGACAGGTTTGTGACGTGATAATGGCCTTACATCAGTAGAGGAAGTCAATAGTCGTGAAGCAGGGTGTAGGGCAGCCCGGCCAAGCGAAAGCCAAATGAGCGGGAACGACAGAGGCACCGGATTGAAGCGGTGGGGCATGAAAGCAGGTGCAGCCACGACGGAGATGGTGGTTGTGCTGGTGGTGATGACAAACACAGGACACAAGTGTTGGAGACGCAAACATCGACGAGGTGGCAGCGACAAAAGAGAAAGAAGCGCCGGACGTCATGTCTTGATGATCGTCATGGAAATAGAGCGTGTTCACACGCTCTGAGCGGCGTACGCCAGGGGGCAGACCAGCGTCGGAAGTTGAGCTCAGTGGTACAGGCTTGGTGGATGGAGACGTGACGAGCAGTCCCAATGCAAGAAGTAGAGCCCATTTGAAAAGGCCAGAGGTAGGGTGGGATGAGAAGGAGCGAAACATGGTGACTTGGACGACGAGCGACATGGGAGATGAAGACGAATGTGAAGCAGTTGTGAGAGGGGAGTGGTATGAAGGGGTTTTGTTTTATTTTATTTGGTTTTAGCATATGGGAATTTCAACCCAGCTGCATTTGTGTGTTGTTTGGTTTTAGCATACGGGAATTTCAACCCAGCTGCATTCACATGTTGTTTGGTTTTATTTGGTTTTAGCATATGGGAATTTACCCAGCTGCATTCACATGTTGTTTGGTTTTATTTGAATTGCGTGTTTCGCTTAATGATTTTCAGGGTGGGTGGGGGACCTAGCTAAAGCGAGGTGAACAACATCTGTATCAGACACATTACTGTACTATTAAGTTCAGTTTGACAGTCACGGGTCACAGGCGCCCTTGCCGGTGTCGAACTTTGGCAAATGTCACACATCACCCCATTGGGGTGTCAAATTGGTCCCATCGTTCGAAAAAATGTGAAAAAATCTATTGTTAGGTCGGTGCCTCGATTTACTGCGATTAAAATTGCACAGGTAAGATTTTTTCAACCAGTTCTACTGAAATAGACCTTTGGGCACTCTTTTGAGGGGAAATCTGTGAAAGGTGGCTCAGAACTGATCAGAAATCCATGTTGAAGATGCAAAATTTGGCTTAAATGCTCATTCGAGTGACCTCCATCTTCAAAAGTGCCTTTAAATCCTTTTCTGGGGCAGGGAAAATTTCGAAGCTCTGTCGAAATTTTGCCGTGGGTCACAGTCACCTCGGTAAGTTGTCAAATGTCAAATGTGGTTCAAACCCTTATGGGTTGCACACCCCATGTCGAATTGAACTTGATAGTACAGTACTCTGTTCAACCGGGTCCTGTCTCATGAGCCCACACCAGAAACACTGGGGGCAAAATCCAGGGCACCTGGACACCAGGTGCCTCTGAGGCATGTGGGCGGCAGGTGCAATGGACCCAGTTTGCACAAAGGAAATAAAGGAATTCTCACCTTTGTTTCCTTTGTGCCAAAACACCCATCACAACCTTCGATGTACATGCGTTGGAGGCACCTGAAATCCAGGTGCCCCAACCTTTGCCCCCAGTGAAAGGTGCAATTTGCTGTGCGCACCATTCCCAACTCTACCTCTGAGTAAATTGTGCACATCCTAGGCTGGATGGGGTTTTGCATATTGCATGTGGATTTGCATGCACAATTAAAATCCTGACACATCCTTCACAGTAGGTGTCACATGCATGAAAATTGCCTGTGATCATCTATATATAGTCCGCAGCCTATGATCGAATTACTCGATCATAGCGGCCTTTTGGCTCAGTTGGTTATGATGCTAGCTGCGGGCACGTGATCTTAACAGTAGGAGAATTTTTTAAATAATTGACGTTGAGACGGGAAGTTTTTCTAAATGTGTTTTTAAATATTTAATACTAGTTATACAACCAACCCGACCGTACAGTGCAGCCGGCCACATGCGAAGCATATTTAAATGGCTTTAAATGGTGCAGTGTATCAAATAATGTCTTGAAATTGAGTCCAGCACGCCGGATTTAAAACCTCGTGTTTAAACATGTGTTTGAACCGGGTGTTTAATGTGTCATACTTAAAGGTGGTGTTCAAACATGGATGTTTAAACAGGTCTTTAAATGAACGACTCTAAAGTTGGGGGCCAGAGGAATGAGTTCTTGCAGGTGCCACTCGATGCGTGATATTCAAGTCGAACAAATACTGACCAAAAGGAAACAGCGAGATGTTTGAAGGAGCCCACGAGAAGATGGGGAGCCTATGAGATAGCATCAGATTGAACAGCCAGCGACAATACCACTTGCTACTCACACCAAACTCCCACATTCTGGATGCTCTGCCAGTATGTACCCAGCTCGTGTGCTCTCACACAAGTTATTACATGTTCAGAATGGACACAGGTACTGAAAGTGTGATGTGCTGGGAAGTGGCGGCTGGTAGGACATGGTGGTGGAAGACAAGAGAAAGCAAAGCAAACACAAAGAACAAGATCAATGATGTGCCAAGCTTGGGCCAATCAGTCGGTGGGGCTGTCAAGCGAATCACATTGTTTGCCTTCTCTTGTCTTCCACCACAACATCCTCCAGTTGCCACTTCCTCACCATGTCCCAATTCAGTCCCGGGGTCTACTCAGTATGTCTGCTGCATTGCACAAGAGCATACAATGGGTTAGCACCGGCAGAAAGTACAGGATGTGGAATTGAGTGTGAGTGGTGAGTGGCAAAGCTGTTGGTCGTTCAATCTGACACTATCTTGTAGGCTCGTTCTAGCTCGTTCCAACCTCTCACTGTTTCCTTATGGTCGGTTATTATTCAACGTTAACATTACACATTGAGTGGCGGACCTATTCCTCCGGCCCCCACGTTTTTTGAGTCATTTGTTCAAAGATCCGGTTTACAGCAGTTTGCGGAACTTAGGGCGCGGCCAATTTTCTTTCCATTTTGGGTCAGTTTCAATCCCTGCCAAGTACAACAGTCGCCCTGGCCTAAGTTTTCTGCCGTTTGCTCCGAAAATGGGTGCAATCAGTGCGGGCAGCCGTTTAGCATAGGACTGTCTCCTTCGATTCTGATGGGAGGTCCTTTGGTGACTTTGTAGCCCGGTGTTTCTCTGAATTCGCTGATTTTTGATGTTTTCTCACACTAAAACACCTGCCCCGAGCTCCATTCAAGCCCTTTTTCCTTGGAAATTGGCTCATTCCAACGCTGCAACTAGTCCAAACTTGGTGGCAGCTAAGTGAAGTGCACCATAGACAGAAGAGTTCCCTGTCTATGCTTGTTAGCATTCTCTCTCTGGCCAGTGTGTCATGTAACAACTTGTCATTACACATATTATGGTATCGGGCGAAAAACCTCTGTTGGCGGCATAGCTCAGCTGGGAGAGCAGCAGACTGAAGTTCCAGTGAATTCCCAGAGTGTTTATATCTGAAGGTCCGGTGTTCAATTCACCGTGCTGCCATTATTTTTAATTTCTTGCTTCATACTTTCTCACTCGTAACTTTGCATCATGTTCGCAGCGACTAGAGGCATTTGTGAGGTGTTCCGTGGAGTTTTGAATGACTAGGGGTGTTGTTTCCACCACATGTCATGCACCTGTTGCAGGATAGGACTCTAGGCTCACCAGAATCGCAAGTAGAGATGTATTGACTATAAAATGGATATCCATGCAAAGAAGGGAAAATTGGAGCTTTCCCATCTCTAATTTCGCTTGGTTGTGGATTGCTGAAAGACACTTTTTTTGAATTAGAAGATAGTTTTTGAAGTTAAGGTAGATTGGATGGCAGTGAAAGCGGTATATCTTAAAATATCTGCTAAAACATGATTGCTCATGTATCCAAATCCAAACAAGTTTATTTTCCAGTGTCCATAACAAGCCAACACTAGTAATAAGGGTGGATCCTGCTGTGATTCATAGCAAACTTTTCAAGACATACCAAGATTTTATTTTGTACATTATAACTTAAAAATCAACAAGCTGTTACTGCTTGCAATTTCAAAATAACCAGTCCTCCTATAAGTTGAATTACTCATCCAGTGGGTGACAACAAAATAGCCCCTAGCATGTCTCGATCCTTTTAAAAAGAAGTGGACCTTGCTGGGAATCGAACCCAGGTCACTTGCAGTTATCCACATCAGCCCAAAGCAAGTATCTTGCCTCTGGACCACAAGGCCTGTGCGAGTGGCTGATCACCTGTATCAGCCTCATGAGTATCTAGAGGACAAGATCGGCACACGAGGCTTAGCTCTCCTCTCCCCTTCTTACTCTACTGCATGTGGATCTGTCTTCAGTCTCTTTCTCTTTTCTATTCCTCTAACATTATTATGTACACTAGTATCCATTTTCACATACCCACTGTCTTCACCCTAGCATGTTTATATATTAACAACCTTAGCCAGTATCTTGAGCAGTCTATGGTCAAATATCATCCAGAACATGTCACTGGCCATGCCAGCAATATAGTTGTGTCCTCACTAAACTACATGTGCCGCAATGCAAGCCAGTTGGATAATGAAATCTGTACAGGCATGTAACTACTCTGTGACAGGGGGGGGAAAAACAAACCAGAAAAAGAAAAAATTCAGACACTGGGGATCAAACCTAGAACTGACTCATAGTTATTCTGTATGTGGGCATACAGAAAGAGGCTGTGTTACCACTACACCGTGTCTGACTGGTTAACAAGTCTGCATTGCTATATGAAGATCATATCTTTATCCTAGGCCACCCACCTCACCAGAACTCACCATCAAACAAAGAAGAAAATAAGAAGGATTCAAATCTCACAGGAAGGATAAGCAGAAAAACCATGAGAGAATGAGAGAATATGCAGAACATATGGGAAACATATTTACAATAAGTTACAGATATCTGAGATGCACTGGATGAACATTTCGAGTTTTTGACTGCTAAAACTGGTGAAAAATATTTAAAGTTTTACATCAATTTTCCACTGCAAAAGTTGGTGAAAAATTCAAAAGTTTCTTACCACTTTTCCAAGTTAGAATGAAAGTGAAAAACTCGAAATAAAATTGATAGTTTCTTTTAGAAGATTTTCATCAATAATGTTTCGGATTTTACAGAACATTTCTTACTGCAAAAGTTGGTGAAAAAATTAAAAGTTTCTTACCACTTTTCTGGGTTAGAAGAAAAGTGAAAAACTTGAAATAAAATTGATAGTTTCTTTTAGAAGATTTTCACCAATAATGTTTCGGATTTTACAGAACATTTCTTACGGCAAAAGTTGGTGAAAAATTCAAAAGTTTCTTACCACTTTTCCAAGTTAGAATGAAAGTGAAAAACTCGAAATAAAATTGATAGTTTCTTTTAGAAGATTTTCATCATTAATGTTTCGGATTTTACAAAACATTTCTTACTGCAAAAGTTGGTGAAAAATTTAAAAGTTTCTTACCACTTTTCCAAGTTAGAATGAAAGTGAAAAACTCGAAATAAAATTGATACTTTCTTTTAGAAGATTTTCATCAATAATGTTTCGGATTTTACAGAACATTTCTGGCTGCAAAAGTGGGTGAAAAATTTGAAAGTTTCTTACCACTTTTCCAAGTTAGAACAAAAGTGAAAAACTTGAAATAAAATTGATAGTGTCTTTTAATCTTTTTTTTTTTGTCAGGACAACTTGGCCTATGGCAGTCAATCCGCACATTTAAGTTTTCATGCATATTTTTCCTGATACAGTGTGGTTTTCAGCTGTTTTCGGTGAAAATTGCTGAAGTGAGTGAATTTTCAGATGTTCAGAAAAAAATCTTGTTTTCCTGAAAAGGGTAATGAAGGTTTTTACAATGGCCTCGGTCTACTCAAAACCACCCTCACATCCGACTTCCGCCAAGGTTTGCTCCCAGCGGAAATAAAATACCTCTATTATTTCCGCTGGGAGCAAACCTTGGCGGAAGTTGAATTTGAGGGTGGTTTTGGATGCCTGGCACCCAGGGGCACCCATTTGTCCACTAGGATCCACCGCCAACCCATCGGTGCCACAATGGATTTAACTTCCGCTTTCTCCCTGAAAACAGCCAATTATAGAGGTATTTTATTTCCGCCGGGAGCAAACCTTGGCGGAAGTTGAATTTGAGGGTGGTTTTGGGTAGGCCGAGGCTGAGTTTGTGACCCTATGCCACTGAAAGCCCTTCCGAGGTGGCAGCAGCTCTGCGGATTCAAGTTCCGCTCTGCCACTGGGTCAAAAATCAGTCGTAAATTCTGTATTTTATTTCCGCTGGGACCGATCCTTGCCAGAAGTTGAATTTGAGTGTGGTTTTGGATGCCCGGCACCCAGGGGCACCCATTTGTTGCCTTGAATCCACCGCCAAGCCGTCGGTGCCACAATGGACTTCCGCTTTCTCCCTGCAAACAGGCAATTATAGAGGTATTTTATTTCCGCTGGGAGCAAACCTTGGCGGAAGTTGAATTTGAGGGTGGTTTTGGATGCCTGGCACCCAGGGGCACCCATTCGTCCACTAGAATCCACCGCCAAGCCATCGGTGCCACAATGGATTTAACTTCCGCTTTCTCCCTGCAAACAGGTGATTATAGAGGTATTTTATTTCCGCCGGGAGCAAACCTTGGCGGAAGTTGAATTTGAGGGTGGTTTTGGGTAGGCCGAGGCTGAGTTTGTGACCCTATGCCACTGAAAGCCCTTCCGAGGTGGCAGCAGCTCTGCGGATTCAAGTTCCGCTCTGCCACTGGGTCAAAAATCAGTCGTAAATTCTGTATTTTATTTGCGCTGGGAGCGATCCTTGCCAGAAGTTGAATTTGAGTGTGGTTTTGGATGCCCGGCACCCAGGGACACCCATTTGTTGCCTTGAATCCACCGCCAAGCAATCGGTGCCACAATGGATTTAACTTCCGCTTTCTCCCTGAAAACAGCCAATTATAGAGGTATTTTATTTCCGCTGGGGGCAAACCTTGGCGGAAGTTGAATTTGAGGGTGGTTTTGGATGCCTGGCACCCAGGGGCACCCATTCGTCCACTAGAATCCACCGCCAAGCCATCGGTGCCACAATGGATTTAACTTCCGCTTTCTCCCTGAAAACAGCCAATTATAGAGGTATTTTATTTCCGCTGGGAGCAAACCTTGGCGGAAGTTGAATTTGAGGGTGGTTTTGGATGCCTGGCACCCAGGGGCACCCATTCGTCCACTAGAATCCACCGCCAAGCCATCGGTGCCACAATGGATTTAACTTCCGCTTTCTCCCTGCAAACAGGTGATTATAGAGGTATTTTATTTCCGCCGGGAGCAAACCTTGGCGGAAGTTGAATTTGAGGGTGGTTTTGGATGCCTGGCACCCAGGGGCACCCATTCGTCCACTAGAATCCACCGCCAAGCCATCGGTGCCACAATGGATTTAACTTCCGCTTTCTCCCTGAAAACAGCCAATTATAGAGGTATTTTATTTCCGCTGGGAGCAAACCTTGGCGGAAGTCGGATGTGAGGGTGGTTTTGAGTAGACCGAGGCCATTGTAAAAACCTTCATTACCCTTTTCAGGAAACAAGATTTTTTTCTGAACATCTGAAAATTCACTCACTTCAGCAATTTTCACCGAAAACAGCTGAAAACCACACTGTATCGGGAAAAATATGCATGAAAACTTAAATGTGCGGATTGACTGCCATAGGCCAAGTTGTCCTGACAAAGAAAAAAAGATTAAAAGACACTATCAATTTTATTTCAAGTTTTTCACTTTTGTTCTAACTTGGAAAAGTGGTAAGAAACTTTCAAATTTTTCACCCACTTTTGCAGCCAGAAATGTTCTGTAAAATCCGAAACATTATTGATGAAAATCTTCTAAAAGAAAGTATCAATTTTATTTCGAGTTTTTCACTTTCATTCTAACTTGGAAAAGTGGTAAGAAACTTTTAAATTTTTCACCAACTTTTGCAGTAAGAAATGTTTTGTAAAATCCGAAACATTAATGATGAAAATCTTCTAAAAGAAAGTATCAATTTTATTTCGAGTTTTTCACTTTCATTCTAACTTGGAAAAGTGGTAAGAAACTTTTAAATTTTTCACCAACTTTTGCAGTAAGAAATGTTTTGTAAAATCCGAAACATTAATGATGAAAATCTTCTAAAAGAAACTATCAATTTTATTTCGAGTTTTTCACTTTCATTCTAACTTGGAAAAGTGGTAAGAAACTTTTGAATTTTTCACCAACTTTTGCCGTAAGAAATGTTCTGTAAAATCCGAAACATTATTGGTGAAAATCTTCTAAAAGAAACTATCAATTTTATTTCAAGTTTTTCACTTTTGTTCTAACCCAGAAAAGTGGTAAGAAACTTTTGAATTTTTTCACCAACTTTTGCAGTGAAAAATTGATGTAAAACTTTAAATATTTTTCACCAGTTTTAGCAGTCAAAAACTCGAAATGTTCATCCAGTGATGGGCAAAATGAAACCTCATACAAAGAAAGTCTTGAACAAAGCAAAAACAAAGGATATTTTTCAAATATGTTTTGCATATTCCACCCAACAGTAGGCTATGGCGGTCAGATCACGGTTTTATCGCAATTTGCAAAAATAATGTCCTTCCTCAAAAAAAAAAAAAGTTTGAGTTTGAGTGGCACTCAAGGTCCGGTGTTCGGAACGCTCAGCCGGCATCATTTTTGCCTTTTAAGCACAACCAAACAATGGTTGAAAATTGTTGTTTGGGGTGTTATGTCAATATATATATACCACATCTGAGCATCTAGTATGTACATATTGTCAAAGTAAGTCTTGTTGAACCATTTCAAGTGGATAGACACTTGCAAAAATGACCTAACAATCCCTTGAAACTTGGTTGTGCTGGGAAGGGATATAACAGAGAGCAGCGGGTTAGAAGTTTAGAAGACACAAAAGTGACCGGAAATATACATGCCTAGTATTTTTGGAGAAACCAGAATGACCGAGATTTCCAGGTGGACGAGATATCACATTCATTCATTTCAGCAACAGAAATTACCATCTGGGTAGATATGGGACAGTCAATGCCCTCCAGGCATGTCAGGAGATATAGTATAAGCATTTAATACCATACCGGTAGCAATTCGAACTTTATGTACCCACAGATTAGCCCAAACAACAATTTTCAACCCTTGTTTGGCTGTGCTTAAAATGGAAGAATGATGCCGGCATCCCGGCTCGAACACAAGCTCTTGGGATGCCCAAGCTCAAAACTTTTTTTTTTTTTTCAAGAGAGGACATTATATTTGCAAATTGCAATGATAAAACGGGGTATATATGTGCATTTCAGGGTTATTTTTGGCCGTTTTACGGGAGGGCAATTCCTACTGCTACATCTTTTTGTCTCTTACCACACAATCAAAGTTGGTGCAATCCATTTTATATATATGCAAGTCAGCAGAGGGACTTAAAATTTTAAGTCCCTTGCTTCTGAAAAAAAAAAAAAATTACCAGTCATAAAATAATATTTTTTGAGGTGAAATACTTTTCTTTTGGGATGGACAGGATATTTTTTTCAGTAGGCTTGCAAACATTTTCTCAAGATGTGCGTGAATAAATGACCAAAGGCGCTAAACCCTAATCCTGGCCAAATCGGATGCTTGTCCATGTTATTGATCTGTTCAGCTTCGAAACATGTCTTAACCAGTGATGGTTCAAATCCCACCAGAACTCATTGATGAGACCCTCAAACACCTTTTTAACAATACTGAATCACTCCTCCACTGTGCTTCTGTAACCCATTCATGGCAACATGCAGCACAGTCTCGAAGTTGAGCCAATCAATAACATGGACAAACATCTGATTTGGCTGGGATTAGGGTTTAGCACCTTTGGTCATTTATTCATACATGATACAGTTGCATGCACCTTGAAAAATGTTTGCAAGCCTCTACTGAAAAAAAAAAAAAATTTGTCCATCCCAAAATATCTCTTTCACCTCAAAAAATAATATTTCATGACTGGTAAGATTTCTTTTTCGGAAGCAAGAAGCTTGTAATTTTTGCCCCTCTACTGACCAGGAGATATGTGGAATAGATTGCACCAACTTTGATTGTATGGTAAGAGACAAAAAGATGTAGTAGTAGTTGACACTCGAAAAAGAATTCAGCCTCACGTAAAACGGCCAAAAATAAACCCGAAATGCACATATATACCCCCTTTTATTAAAACCGCGATCTGACCGCCATAGTGGGCAACAATCATCTGAAAAATATTGTAAATATGTTTCTTATATTCTTTCAATAACACAGCTTTGATTTTTTACTTATCCTCCTTGTGAGAACTGTTGAAAACTGAGTCGATGATTGAGAGAATAAATTCAATGGTTACTACAGACGAAATCCGAAGTATTTATACTCTACAGAACTGTATCTAGAATGTTCTTTGAGATAGGCTGAATAATGCATGAGTAAGACGAATGGAGTGGAATATTCGAGTGTATTCAGGCATATCGGCGCATCAGAGTCGGGCTTAGTCAGCCTCGGTGATGGCTCAGCGTTCGCTTTCTATCGTAAACTTCAACAAGATCTACTAAGAAAGAAGCAAATCCAAAGATCACAAGGTGATTTTGGGAAGAAAGAATTATTGAATAACACTGAATGAGAAAAAATGCCTTATGCCTGCCAAACTCAGACACTGGGGTTTGAACCCAGGACCGCCTCACCGTACAAACTGTTTTTGGTACAGAAAGAGGCCGTGTTACCGCTACACCATGTCTGACTGCTTGACATCTCTGCATCTGCACATAACTGCAATGAATGGAGCAACTTAAAACTTTTATCCAAGCCATTCACTCAAGAACTTGTCCCCCGAAATAGACAACATCAAGATCCAAATCCACAAAGAAAAGGGCTAATAAAAAAAGTCACAAAGTGATTTGAAGAGGAACCAGTTATCAAAGAAGGGCAAAACAAGAAAGAAAGAAGAAAAACACTGTTCATGCCACAGACACCGGGGTTTCAAACCCAGGACTGCCTCATATTCTCAGTGATTATCCTCTAGAATGAGAGGCCATATTGCCACTGCACTATGTCTGACATGCAAACATGAGGGGGAGATGAGGTAACCGGACATCTCTGCATTAGGGGAAGTCAGAGTTGACGATTCGGGAACGATTCTGGATCGATTCGTATTCCGATTTGGAGAGCTGAATCGTTGCAGAATCGGTGGCCTTTCGGGGTGGTCAAAGCTGCAAACGATTCTGCGTCGAAACAAGATACAATTCTGAAACCATCAAAAGATTTCATTTGCAGAATTGTTGATTCTGATTCAATTCTGTGTGTGTTCCTCCTCCAGAGGAGGAACAGCGATTCTGCTTCGATTCTGCAAAACTCGATTCTCGAACGAAACTGGACGAGAATCGAAACAGAATCGAAGCCCGAATCGAACGAGAATCGACGTGAATCATCAACTCTGACTTCCCCTATTAATGCACTCAATGGAGACCTCAAACATAATTCCAATTGCATTATACTTACTCCAAGTACCTGCCCCCTGCGTGGTTGCTTAGTTGTAGTCATTGTCAGGATCGTAGAAGAAGAACGGCAGGATTGTTCAAGTTGAAAAGACAGCAAACAAAATATCAAGCTCTCAGAAGAAACAAAAAGTTTGCGTCAAATGTCCCATTCAGACACCGGGATTCGAACCCGGGACTACCTGACAACTTTTGGCATTCAACCGTACATTGAGAGGCCGTGTCACCACTACACCATGTCTGACTTCTCCTGACCATCAGAGGAAGAGACAAGCCGACATCCGCGCACCACTGCACTGAATAGGGATCCTCAATAATTTTCGAATGCAGGCCATCCCTGGCAACGCTCTGGGTTCATATTAAACCCCACATCCGTCCACGCGTGGACGGTTTTGGTTTGACGGTTTTGGTTTGAGACTAGGCAACGTTGTCCATCTGAGACATCAAAGAATGATCAAGGGATTTGAGGATTCAGGAAGGAAAGAAAAACCAAAAACACACATTCCACGCGCATTCAGACACCGGGATTCGAACCGGAGACTACTTCAGACTTCGATTGAATTTTTGAGAAAGCGAAACCGTGTTACCGCTACACCATGTCTGACATACCGTTTAATTCCTCAATGGAGGAACGGCCAAGTCAGCGTCTTTGCATAGCTACATCGCGGCATCGTTGCAATTGGCACATCGTTGCGATTGGCACATCGCGGCATCGTTGTGATTGGCACATCGCAGCATCGTTTGCGATTGGCACATCGCTACAGACACGGAGTGCATCCGCCCGCAATCGCGGGCCGTCATTGTCGTTGGGTATATACGTATCGTAAAATGAACTGATGTCTATGTACATGTATCCGTAAAATAAATGCGAGGTGCGTAGGAATAAGGAATGAGAAGAGCGAGAGCAAGGAAACGATGCAAGCAATAAACGATAAAGGATAACCGATAATCGATAACACGCATGCCGAGGATGAAAAAAAATGGAGTGCGCGCGTTGAGGAAGAGAAATGCGCGTGGAGGAAGAGGATGCGAGGATGGAAATGAAAAGCGAGATAGATAGAATAGATAGAATAGATCTACACACATTGACATTTCTTCTCGTCGTTCCGTTCCTCGTCGTTCCGTTTCCCCTTCTCCACACTCACTCCGTTTCCCTTCTCGACACTCACTCCAACCCCATCGCCCACGCACTCTGCTGCCGCTCCTCCAACTCCCTAATCCTCGCCTTCGTCTTCTTCACATCAATCTTCCCCCCTTCAGTCGATTTCATCCGACTCTGCGAATTCGCGCGCTCCAGCAACCCTTGTGCGGCTCGTAATTCAGCGGCGAGGTACGCTTGGCGCGCGGCGGGGGAGGAGGCGGGACCGGGCTCGGATGAGGCGTTGGGTGTAGTAGCACCGGCGAACGGCGTTGACCACGAATTAGAGGGAGGGAGGGAAGGCGGGAGGGTATACGCGTTTGAGTTCGGATTGGGTGGGGAGGAAGAAGTATGGGGAGGATAAGAACCGAGCTCGACCGCGTCCCTCTCGCTCGCCTGTGGCTGGCTCTTCAAGTCGGCCGGGGCATTCGCTCCTCCTCCACCCATGGCAGGTAGTGGTAGTTTAGCTTGTCCCCCAACATACGGCTGCTGTTTCACATTCGCGAGCGTGGAGGAGAGGGCGGCCGCGCGGCGCTTGTTATTGCGCCGGACGAAGAGGTAGCGGAGGAGGAAGGCGGCGACGATGGCGCCGAGGATGGCGAGGGCGACGCCGACGATGAGGCCGACGGGGGCGTCATGTTCTCTGTAGGAATGGGGAAGTGTCAGCAATGGGTGAAGAGAGGGTGATGGGTGAGAATGTGAGGATGGAAAACGGGGAGTGGTAGTAAGCGCAGACGGAACGGGGATGACCGCGGAGCACGTGGAACGGAACGGGGGGAGGGGTAGCGCGAAAGGAACATCACAGATGATAACTTAGTAAAGATGCAGAATGAAGACGACGACGGATAACAAGAAAATGGAGGTAACAGAAAAAGGAAAACCACGCACTTGTCCGACTTCAAATGCCTCGTCGGCGTCGGGCCGGGCGTGTGCGAGGTGGTATCGGTCGGCGCGGTCTCGCCCGATGACTGGGTGGGCACGAGTGTGATGCTGCGGGCATCGAGATCTCGTGCGTCGAGGGCGGTGGGAAATACTAGTGCGTCTCGTTCATCGACGAGGGCTCGTGGGACTGGCATCGTGGTTTGTATGCGTTTATTCTTCGCTCTCTTTTCCGTCTCTCTTTTCTCTTCTCTCGTTCTCTGTCCCGCGGTGGTCGTCAAGGTAGGCTGTGGTGGCCTAGCAGTAGTCGGCGTCGGCGTAGTCTGTCTGTCCGGTCGCGAACGGGCTGCGAGTGCACTGTGGTTGTGGGTAAAACGGGACGTGGATGTGGGTCGTAGAGTGAGCGTCGTCGAGAGCAACCGACGGTGAGAACGACAAGCGTATTTTGTTTGGCTCGGCGTGCCACCGTCGTTGATTGTGACGGTGACTGTGACAGGTGACGCGGATCTTCCTTTCCTTGTCTTTTACCTCGTCCTTGATTTTGCTCTCCTCCAAAGGTGTACTGCTACTTCGACCTCTTTTCTCTGTGGCCCTCTCTCTGCTTGCGTTTAATTCTCTGACTCGGACTCTGGTCTCATGCAGCCATACGAAAATTTCAATCTCGATATCCTCCCGCACGCGACAACATCCGTCGGCGTCACGAATCCCGACAACATCCCAAATTAAAATTTATCCCGGTCAATGGCCAGCCATCGATCATTCCGGGCTCCCGTTCAAATTCTCCTTGCGAGCGCTTGCCTCCAGCTTCGAGCCTCAGAATCGAGGGAAGAAAGGAAAGCTTGGCACGCCCGAGCGCGCCCGGGACGTCAAGGTCTGCGCTGACGTACATCAAAAGTCTCCCGCGACTCAATGGCGGACGCCGTTGACTGCGGCATCTGACCGACTCTCACGGCGATAATGTAAAGACGGGCCTCGACCCGACTTGTCCACTCGCACGCGGACAGATCACCATCATTTATGCAGTGAGTGGGTTTAAAAATAAGCAAGGAGTAAGTCCCCGGGCGGGCCAGATAGCCCGCTCTATCCGTCTCTCTCGCTGTGTATACTCGGCTCTCAAGTGATAACCAACCCCGGGCCCGGGACCAGACCTCGAGATATCCATCTGTTCAACTTCCTCGAGAGTCATTTATTTATGCATTCGATTCTTGCTGCGTATGTCTTCAATTTCTGGTTTCCTTGTCTGCGTCTGGCTCCCGCGTGCGGGCAACATTCGCGAAACTAAGCTTTCTGCAGCCCAGTAGCTTACTTCAACTCAGCGCGTAGCGAATGGCGTTAACTACGGCGTCTTAGGTCGACATAGCGGCGAGACATATGAACTCACCGCGTGCGGATAATCATTGACAAGCACGCAAGCAAATCTCAGAATCAGAATCACCAGTACCGTTTCACCGTTTATCTTTATTGGAGGCTGAGCTCAACGATAGCGATGGCTGGACATGTATGTACGTATGTATGCATTCTTCCACTAATATTCTCTGGCCATTTTTTATTTTTCACCACATTGAGCCTTGACGACCATTTTTCGACACCGCTTGGCACATTCCATTCACGTTAAACCGGTGCGTGAGAACAGTAATATGTGGGCCAGGACTGTCTCGTCTCACACGCACACAACGACCTCATACACATATTTAATCTGAATATGATTATTTGATTTCCTCTGTATACATGATTCCGAGGGAACTCGACATCTAAAAATCCCGCAGTAGGTGTAGTATCCGCTAAGCATGTACGCGATGACGTAGGCCTTCTGCTGCTTGCTCAATTTCTCGAATGCTGGCTTGACGTCGCACTGCGAGTGGCTTGAAATCCTGTGATGCTATCAACTGGTCCTTCAAGTTGTCATCCGTGTTGTTCAGATACAATGACCGGCAGAGGCCTCTTTCAGGGGGACTCGTTATCGTCGACGTCTATGTGTGTAAATTGGCGTACCTAACTTCATTAGTTCCCGCTCCAATTTGGTGAATTGTACTTACCGGCTCCTTGTCTTGAACCGGATTCTCCTCTGCAGCGGGCTTCTCTTCTTTCACCGGCTTCTTGCCAGTGTGATGCAATAAGCGCGAGAGCCCCAGTCTTTTTGAGTGACTTCTTTCAGCCGGAGGCTATTGACACAATCTGATCAGCCTTTTCCCTCGAAAGCTTTGAAATCCTACTTACGTCTTTCCATTCTTGCGCTTTCATCCACTCCTCAGTCCAATGGCAATAAAACCCCAATGACAAATCTTCACGGTACTTATTTGCTTTTGCCCTCTGCGAGGTTCTGGTCGAGATCCTTCTGTGGCTTGCTGGTGATGTCGGTGTCAGGTGCTCCCTTGGTCAACCCTTTCATCCTAACCATGCCCCCAGTGAAGATTTCAAATGGCAAGCCAAGGATGGTGATCTCGTGGACTGTATTGCTTTTTGAATCGGGGCGCGGTAGTGTATCGCACCGGATCTGGTCGTCACAAACGAGAGCGAGAGGTTTTTCCACTTGCAGTTGCATATGTATCTTCTTTATAGAGCCATGATGATGGGAGGGGAGTGTAATGTGGGCCTTGGCTCCAATGGGGCCGGAGAGGGCTGGATTCGACGACATTGGGATGGTGGTCAATGAGTAGGATTCGATGAGGCGGTGTGTGCTCTGTGGCGCTTTTTAAGTCTTCCACAGGGCCGCCACAAACCACGTGTCATGTGGCGGCGAGAACAAGAATGGTTCCCAATCGGGCAGAAAGGTTACCATATGAGTGGTGTACGCCAACAAAACGCCAAGGCAGGCGAAATATGCTCCCATCCGACCAGAGTCAGAGGGAGATGCCAGTTGGAATCAGGGACCAGGCAGTACCCAAGTACTTACTTAATGCCCTCGTGTTTGGTGAGTATATAATATATATTGGCTCAAAACTGATCTGTAAATTACACGTCCGCCTGAATAGGGGAAGTCAAAGCCCTCGGGAGGGACCGATTCAGCCGCCGATTCTGGAACCGATTCTTGCCAGATTCCATAGAATGAATCGGTTGAGAATCGGGACAGCTTTGACCGGCCCCATTCTGTAGCCGATTCTGGCGTTGATTCAGAAGTGTCGGAAACGGATGCCATGAGAATCGAAATTCAGAATCGCCGATTCTGATGCAGTTCCTCCTCTGGAGTAGGAACACCGATTCACGCCGATTCTGGATAATCACCGATTCTTGATCGATTCTGGACTCAAGAATCGGCCCCAGAATCGGCCTCAGAATCGAGTGAGAATCGGCCCCTCCCGAGGGCTTTGACTTCCCCTAATGAAAGAGTATGTTGTTGAAATGATAAGCGAGGAGGGCGAGATTACTGTATTTTTTTAATCAAATCGACAAGGGGTGTGACGCGTGACCCACTGGGACCAATTCGACAATTCGACAAGCCTGAAAATTTTGCGTGACCGGCGGAAAATTTTCGAAAATCACAACGCGAAATATCGTTTTTGGGTGGTTTTGAGGGACTTTCCCCTGCGTGACAGATATTTTGGGTTCGATAAAGCCTCGAGTGACGCGTGACCTCAACAAAAATTCGA